TATTTTTTGCACTAGTATGCTTATCCAAATCTTACAGATTTATTATTAATCTACTGCCAATAGAAGTACACATCAAACAGTGTTAAAACAAGCAAAAGTCTGGCTTTTTAAACAAATGGTATAAGAATCTACAGACATAATTAATGTACTGTTTGCAAAACATGACTGCCCTCAACAATTCTTGATTGCATTTTAAAGCTCTTGGATTCATATAAATCTGATAAAGCAACTGCTTGACTTCAAGATCAACTACCATGATCAAACACATACTAAGTGACTTTTTGCTTCTTTGCAATAAGATTCTTTTACTGATTATTCTGTTTATATTTTAGCAACTAAAAATTGGCAAGGATGTACAGTGATAAGCATTCAGTTTTCAGTATTCAGTGCTATTGTCTCTGTCATGCTTGTAATGAAGATAAACAACCATATGCCTGACCTTAATTCATTTAGTTTTTTTTTTATCACACATCTATTTCAACATACTATTTCATCCAGTCATTCATACTATCCACATATAAAAACTGTGCCTCCTCCACCACCATTGTTTTAAAATCGGGAACTCACTTCCTCACTTCTCCATATGAAAAGCCTGACATGGCAATTTGTAATCTTCATTTATAGAGAAATATTACTGGTGTACAGCATATTCCCCAATTAACACACTCAGGGGTTTCACATTTTCCAAATGGGGAGTCTGCTAAAGCACAATAATGAAAGCTAAAGTTGTTCTTTTGATGCACTTTTATGATCACATGTATATCTGAGTCTTCTGCCACCGAATTCAGTAGCTATAAATATCAGCACAGTCAAAATGATCAATTGATCAGCATATTTTCCCAATCACCAGCTGGCTGAAATAGGACTATAGTCCGATGCTACATCCCCGTTTGTTTGTACCCCCTACCGATTTCAATAACGGAAACCTTAAATTTGATAAAAAGTGCAAAAAAAATTGGTCAATTCATTCACTGATTTATATTTTCTAACCTGAATGTGAAAATAAGTGCCATAACACCGTCATCATCTGCGCGTTTCATGCTTAACAGAAGTTTTCAATGTAATAGACTGACATGCTTGAGAACCATTTTCAGTTTCTGGACCAGTCCATTTTCAGCAAAAGGGGTCCATGAGCAACTAAAGATGTACATACATATGTTGTCTGCTTCCAAAATTTAAAGTGTCGAATCAAGCAAAGGATAAGAATGACATAACAAAGAAATTGCCTTTCACATGGATTAAACAAGTGGTTTAATTATTGTTCATGAGTGCAAAGGAATATAATTCTTAAGTCAACGTTATGATAATTTACGGAATTATCTGGCAGTTACCGAATAGAATGAATTACGTCATTATGTTGTCTAATGGAAATAAGCTACCCCATAGTGTACAGAATATGGCGCCATGTTAATATGCAAAGTCTGTTAAGCATGAAATATGCAAGGAGATGCCATTATAGTGCCATTCAGGTTAGAAATTATAAATCAATGATTCAGTTGACTTAGTTCTGTGCACTTTTTATCACATTTTTAGTTATTGAAATCAGTAGGGGGGTACAAACGGGGATGTAGCATCAGACTATAGTAAGTCTTTGAACATGCTGTCCAGCTATTGCATCATGTTTAGCACTACATGTATACCTGTGACTTTAGTAATTTATATGTAGATATATACATTGTAACAGTATAATCAACTGAGACTGCTGTAGCATTGTTATAATCGGATCTAATACACAGTTATTGATAAGCACATGTGTTACACTGCAGGTTTTAAATTTTCTGTTCTTAAATAAAGGAGGGTATCAATTAGATTGTGGCATTAATTAGGGAATTTATAGTAACCCTATGTACACAATATCTCTACAATTCAATATTATCAATATTACTATGCAGACAGAAAACAATAAATGTGTTTATGGAACACAGATACCCCATCAGTGCCTGAAATGATTTAAACAAAAAGCTTTACTGAGATGGACAGAAGGATAAACAAGTCTCTACTACTGTCATGGAAGAGCATTTTTTATAAATATAAATGCATACATAATATGAAAAAGCTCAACCTCACAATCAAGCTTATCCAAGACCTAGATGATATAAGTATATTTAAAGTTTATATAAATCAATTTATACATATTAATATATTTTGAAAACAAATTTTTCTTAAGTGGCATCATTCAAGACACTCTTCCAATATATCCACAAACTAAGCTGGATAAGAAATCCTTTCCTACTTGCCCTAAGATCACATGTTCTTACAATAATACAACTTGGTAAGCTAACAATAATAAATAAAGGATACTGTCCGAGTTCCACCCAATACTGGCCACATTTTGATCATGTGGGTTGAATTCCTGGACAACAGAGTACAGAGAACAATCCCAGATCTTAATATCATCCCCAGATGAAGCTAGCTTTAACTCGCTCACTGCCATCTTGCCTCCAAAACTGTCAAGTTTCTCCACTAGCTGGCCATTTTAGCTATATGTTGTGCCTGAAATGGACCCATAAGCAAATGATGTCACACCAGAATTGGTAATTTTCAAAAGTAAGCTACCCAAGGCTTTATGTTGGGGTTATGTCATAAAATACTGGTTATTCATGATAAACTGTCACTGCCTAATGCAACTTGGACATTCATGCAGATAGACATATAAATATATTCATCAGAAATGAAAAAGCACAATCTCGAACAAAAATGGATGGACAGGGAATACATTTTTCACAAACATCAATTGCTTGTTATCTTTAAAACAAATTATGTTCCCTTCCCATTTGTTGTGTGCAAACCACCGACCAAGGACTATATAACTAAACACTCCATGTATTAGTCTTATCTTGGGGTGATGCTGTCTTCCTGCAATTTTAAAAAAGTCAACAGATGGTGGATACCCAAGTGTTCAGTGCATGACAGGGCTTAATACCAAAAAGTGGGTGTTCTGAAGAATTTGATGCTATGGGTCAAGAAGAACTTTACTTACCATCTGCACACAAAGGTCAATCAAAACAAGTGTATTAATACTAAAAAGTATCTGATAGTCCAAAAGTTGTTTGGCGGAAAAAGTTCGTTTTAAATAGTGCCTTGCACAGTTGGTCTCCACTATCAGAAATATCAGAAGAAAAAGAAAAGCCGAGATCTACCAGGTTTTTTCACCAGAGAACACAATTACACCAATGACATCCAATAAATGTATATTTAGTAGTTTGGCATGCAAAATAATTCATTAAAATGTGAAAATAGTTATAATTAATCCTAATGATTATAGAGTTTGGTTATTAAGATTCATGATTTTATACATTTGATAAATGTTTCATATATTTATAAGATTTTGAATGTTTAATCTCTTTTAGGTTGTTTTGCCATAAGTACTTTAAATATTCATATTTGATAAAATAATTTTTTTTTCCTGTCCCAGAATTTATGAATTCTTTTTCAAACCTAAATCATGTCCCAATGAAATAAACTGTTCAATTTGCATACACACAGACACACACACACACATACACACCCCTTAATGCATGCCTGCCATGAAAAAAAAGATAATCAAAGAAACTAATCTTGTACTGTCAGGATTTATTCTCTTTTTGCTTTTCAGTTTCTGCTTAAGATTTGTTGCCTCCAATGATAATTTTTCATAACATGCCAAAGCTAAATATTCATGCACTAAAAGGATTGATCATACACATGAGGAAGGGTTGGGTTCATGAGATGATGCAGTGGATTAAAGGGTTTTATCTTAAGTTTTATTTTTTAAAATAAAATTTTGAGTTGGAATGGTGTCTCACAACTTACAACTTAAAAAATAAAAAATTTGTCCCAGAACACAGTGCACAAAAAAATTTAAAAGTTAATTTATGGTATCCCAACATGTATATAAATAATATGTAGAAGATGCATCCATGTGTAAAGCTTTTGTCAGGTCACACAACACAATGGCCATTTACATGAATACGGTTGGTTGGTTGGCTGATTTTCTTTGTATGACACACCAGCACTTTGAGGTTATTTAGCGCCATAGAAAAGTCTATATCTTTCATCATTTAAATGTTTTTGTATCAACCAGCGATACAAAACTAAACAGTTGAAAGTAACAAGATAAAATGGCAACAGTGATAAATAAAATTTTCACCATCGACAGAGGGTGCAAATGCTGTACAACAACGAAAACATGAAAGGTAATTAAATTCTAGCACATAAACTGTTTAAGGTGATATCATAAATCTATAACCTATGATAAATATTTACTATAAGAAATGCTAACTATTAAAAAAGAGCTCCCTAATATCATGCACATTATAATAATGATTACGCGTAGGTTGGCGGTAAAAAAAACTCCAACACAAAGTGCTTAACAGTGAATAGTTCATTACAAGATATGCACTCTGGTGGGTCTTCTCCTTTTAGTATGTAGGAGTGGGGTAAATATGGCCAATTCAAATTCTTGCAATGACTACCTCCTCCCTACGGACGGCTCTGTAGGAAGGATTCGTCTCCTAAGGTTAACTTGATGGCATGAAGTTTGTTATTCATAGCATCATTTCATGATGCCTACCATTTCTGACGTAAACAGTCTTTGATACTACATTTAAAATCTGTAAGTATTAAAATCAGATGGTTCTAGTGAAAAAGCTAGCACGGTCTGCTTTAATTCCAATATAGCTGGGTAACCAAGAGTATACTATCTAGTGGAAGGTACTCAGTTCAGTATGTCTAAGGAGAACATTAGTTAATAATTGATTCTCCAGTTTTCTATTATGTATGCGGGTGATTTAGATTTTTACTATAGCTTTAACAATTTTTCAGTCATATCGCTACAATGTCTGCAGTGCGACAGTTTATAGTGAAGACTAGCACTGGGGCATTATGCTGCAGACATGTGGTATGATGTCCCAACCCGTCACATTATTCTGACACTAGGCCAACCAGTCCTAACACTAACCTCTTAATGCTGAGCATCAAGCGAGGCAGCTGATCGGACAATTTTTTAAAAGTCTTTGGTATGACTTGGCTGGGGTTTGAACCCACGACCTCCTGCATCCAAAGTGGATGCTTTAACCACTAAGCCACCAGAGCGGTACTCTCTATTATGAAGTGACTCAAGTACTAATAGTGAATTGGAGATGATGCTGTTTAAAATATGCTTGCTTTTAATGTATTGCAAAGCAAGGTTTATTGCTCCGATTTCGGCTGAATAAAAAATTTCTGTACCATTTGGCAAGCAAACTTTTGTTGAGTGTTTTCCACAAACAAAGCCTTTTCCTCATCTTTTGATCCATCAGTATATATTCTTGTATAATTTTCAAATTGGATGAGAGTTCATGGTAAGAGTTATGAAAGATTGAAGGGTTTGTTTCCAATTTCTTTTCCATTGTGTAACGTGAAAGGTACCTCAAGTTGTTGAAGTAGCCAGAATATAGAGGTAAAGTTTGTAAAGTACAGGCAGAAATAATTTACCTCTAGCAGAGTTGCACAAACTTTGGTTTCAAACCCTATGCAACTCAATGGCTTATTGCTATTTCTTCACTTGGCATAATTCTTGGATTTTTGTTTTACAATTTCACATTTTGACAGCAATCATACTCCTGCCACAAAACATAATCAAATCAGCATATAATGTACAATAAACGTAATCATGTCCCTTCCTGCTTTTATTCACAAGAATTTGAGATTAATCTTTATTCTTCTGTACTGATTATTAACACTTTTGAAGAGGCCTATTATATCATCTGTCTTAACATGTATCGCTAGTGGGATGTCGTTTAAAAAAATTCTAAAATCAACAGTTTGATCATATTAACACTTTGCATCAAACAATATGTGCAGTTTAAATCCTCTGAGGCACTACTGTAAAGCTAGGCTGGTTCCCAGACCAATTCCACTAATATGAAACCCAGATCCATATCAAACATGGACTAGCCAATTATCCTAATTTCATGGCAACAATCACATTTCTTAAGTTTTTGTTTTTATTCTGTGTCTGTATTTTGAGGGTCATCTTTGCAAGACTTAGGGCAAAATTATAAGGGCAGGCATGTCTGTGCAATTTTAAATGATTTTAAGGTTGTTGAATAATTTACGACAGAAAAAATTTATGTATCCCAGAACATGCAGTACATAAAAAAATGTACTTAAAAAATGTAGTGTCCCAACAAATATGGTGTCCCAATATATACAATAAATACAGTATACATGTATATTGTTTCTTTATAATACTCTACAGTTGATTTGTCCGGAAGTAATCACAATGTCATTTGTCAATTTTTTAAACTTTTTATTTGTAAGATCCAGAATTTCTAAATATATCTATATCTATTAAGGAAATAATGGAAACTAACCTAAATTAACTACTGTTAACTTCAAAGGTACTCTCTAATGTCTTAATAAATACATAAAAGTTTATCAGATGAAGAACTCCAAACTTGTATGTTTTTTAAACTACAGAACTTGTTATAGAGAATTTTAGCAGGAATATATATCCACCCCCACCCCTACTTGTGATTATTCTGAATGTTATGAGAGGTATTTAAACAGATCTTGTCATGTGTTTACATGGCTGAGCATTGCCTTAATACAATTATAATTACATAATGGCTTTAAGGTGATGATAATTGATTAAGTGTGTATAGATGTAGATATACACAAATGCTATCTCAATACTGTAGACATTGTAATGCTGGCACCATCATCTGACGATGTATATAATGACTGCTAAAAATTGAGAGTATTCATCATAATAGACCATAATGGCTGCATCTGATATCATTGGGAAAACTATATAGTCTATATACCTTCCAGTAAATGGAATATTGGGCCTAGCTTTCAAACACAATACATCTTTCAATGTCAATGGATACTCTAGTACCCTCCTGTTTATAATTACCCAGGCAATAAAATGAAAAATAGGGTAAATGTTTAGTTCATGTTAAAAAAGGGTCCAAGTTTCAATCAAACATTATGTCTGGCAACATCAGGAGCACGTGAGACACAGAACAAGTACAATTTGAGGCTCATATTGTGTGACTATTGGCTACTTCACATTTATCCATCATAGACATGTCTACTGATCTTGTATTTTCAATGTGTGCAATGCAAGTTGAATAGTTTCCTTATTTTCTATTTATACTAGCTTTTCATCACATGTTCCAAGAAAACAGGCAGGTTTCTTGAATTTGAAACCATGCATCACTGATTCATTATATTCTGATATACACATTAGTAGCAGCCCAGTCTATAGTGAAAGCAACTTGGTGCCAAATATTAAAATCAGCTTTATCGATGTGACTATTGGATGTTATATGACTAAAAAAGTGTTCGAGGAGAGGGGCTTTGTTAGATTTAAATACATGTTGCATTAGGAAAAGGATAAAACTTCAAAATTTTGAAAGAGGAATTCAACAGTAATGTACCAGTAATAGAGCATTCAGAGACTTGACTTTAAACCATTCAGCAGAAGTCAAGCATGTAGAGTAGTTAAAGTGAATGTTGCGTATAAAGGGTATAAATAAGGTATAATTTTGTTATGTGTCTGTATTCTCGTACTAATCCACATGAATTTAGCCCATTTGTGAAGAGAATTTTGACTAAAAGCAGATTCAGGTAAGCAACAAAACAAAGTAAGTTTTTCATAGTTTTCTATAATCATGGCATGTAATATATAGATTACTCTCTTTTTATTCAAATTACAAATTTTGACAAGTTATATTAGTAATAATTATACTTTTACCTCTCTTGGGGTTGTAATGTATGAACCTACAACAAATCAGTATATGGGCAGCAGGGAGACATTTCCTAAAATTTTGACAGATCTACTTTTAATCCCTGACAAGTGTGCTCAAGGCAGAAAAGTCATCAAGTGGACAAGATATGGAGGAGCACCATATTGTGGTACTTGAATACCAAGCCATTTCATTTCAGTGTGCGACACTGCAGAATTTCAGTTTCACCCTAACAGTTCAATTTCACCCATTATTAGATTCGATGTAAGTAGCATTTCTGATCATGGAGACCATGCGATGCAATTAGAACCAAAAAACAAGTACTTTTGACGCTATGTATGCAAATATAAAAGAGTCAGGTGGAAGTGGCTATGTTGATGATACCATTTCTAATGAGGATAAATGATCGCTAGTACCAGATTTGGAAAATTATGCCAACTCCCAAAACACAGTCACAAACACTTAGTTTTTGGTGAACAACCGTGAAAACATTGTAAGAAAGTCCAACAATTTAAAGTCAGTATTATGACCACTGTGGAGTTTGGAACCATTCCAAAGGAAAATTATTTGTTGAAAATGGAAACATTTCAAAGGAAGATCATTTAATTAGATTTGTCCTTAAGTGAAAATTTGTGGACAGTTTTAAACAAAAAATGACCAAGTCTAAATAAGAGAGTCTGGTAAATTTAATTTATACCAATATCACCTCAACCTGACTCATCTAAATTCTTTATGATGTATAAATAAAAGTAGAACCAGCTTTCATGAAGCATATTTCAGGGTTCAATCAATGGGCAATTTAGCCCTTCCATAAACTATTTATAAATATTATTGTACCTTTCCTAGTGCAGGCAATACTCAATCAACCTTTATAACAACTCATCCCAAAGCAAAGGACACCATAGCAGTGAAAGTGAAAACAAAGAAACCCAAACTTTTTATGTTGACATGAAGATAATTCAGTGTTTGGCCTTTGGGACACCAAGCTAATAAAAAAAAAAATATCAAATTACGACAGCAGTGGGGAAAAAAACCTGTTGCATTCAAACAATATAGCAGATGAAATTTTGCATGTGATAGCAATGTTAAACATGCACAAGTTAGTTCAACAGATTATTCATACCAAAGATAAAGTTACTGCTATTATAAGCTACACAAGTAAACAAACATAACTAAAAGTACTTTAATTTTAAAATCTGGTATACCTTTGACAAAAATGGAAGAACAGTATATATCAGTATAGAAAATCTCAATAGTACACAATGAATTTAAATAAACAAACAAGATATTAATTTTGTTTTTTTTATATCCCTCCTGGTTCCATACAACTTGCAGTTATACTACATATGTGTAAATATTGATGCAAGGAAGTTACAATAAATCATTCTTTTTTATATAAATACATTTCCTTCTGTTTACTATTTTTTTATCTAAAGTGAACAAACAATAACAACTTAGTACATCATCTGCTCTGCATAACATCAAGTAATATATTCTTATAGCATTCCTATCATGAGTATAAATGAACATTTAATACCATTGTCAATATAAAATATTTTTATTGGCTGTCATATCTGGAAGTGTTCTCTTGATTTCTGTTTAGACACAAAACTCATTACAAATGAAGAGTTACTTCCCATGGCAGTACTTCAGTGTATTAATGTTTCTGTAAAAGAAATACAAGACTGTATTAAATACATTTTTGCTTTCTTAAGGTTCAAGGGTGCATAGTATAGAATATTTTTAGTGTTTTGAGGAGTATGGGGCATTCTAAACAAGTCTGGAGTTGTTTAGGCAGACTGGTCAGAGGTATCAGTGATCACTTATAACCAAACTCTATAATCATTTCAAATAATGATATAAAAATAACCTATTTTTCAAATTTTGAAGTATTATTTGACACACTAAAATAGAAAAACACTTTTATTAGTCATTATAGGTACAATTTGATGTATTCTGAGGTGAAAGGACAAGCACAATATATAATAGTTGGTCATAAATGTGTGAGAATCCAAATTGTGAATAGCTGGTTATTAGAAACTCTGAAATATGCTCAAAGACTAGTCCTACAATGTAAGACATAACACATGTATTTGTTTTAAAGCCATGTCTTATGACCCTAATACAGGCCTTATATAGCCCAGTTCATTGACATCAGAATGAGTTGTCAAAGTTTCAGGAATATCTCACACACTTGACAGCCTATATCAACACTCATCCACTAAGTATTGTGTAATTAATATATTTACTGTGCTGTCTTTATCATGGTGGAATCAAAATATGATACAAGCAAACTGATGCATTTTCATGTTCCGTTGACATACTGTATTCACTGCATGTTTTCAGACACTTTTTCAG